ATGAATACGGCCCAAGCAGTTCTTAAAACAAAGAAAAATTTGGATGCAGCAGTGCAGGAATTCGGTGCGTCTTATGCAATCGACGTTTTACAAAGAAACAGATGTGTACTAGTTTACGTCCCAATCAAGTCTGACCGAAATTCATTTCGTACAAGGTAGCTCAGAAGTGAACAAGCTAATTCACTAGTAGCTAAGCTCATCATAGGTGGTGGTGGCGTAATGGCTTAATCGCTGTCACTTGCTATGGACCCTATCGTCCGCGGTTTGATCCCGCCAGTGATGGGCAGCTTTGCTGTCGTCCGGTTCAACACCACGCCTAACCTAGTGGATCCTCTGTGGTTCGCCACTCCAAATCCCGGGTCTTACGTTACCGGTTTCCATGACGGAGCAGCAGGTCTTCGTGACTATAGGGTTCGCCGCGTCTGCTGTGCATCACATCATCAATACCATAAAAAATCCTGTTGAGCTTTGGCCAATCTGGGTGACATTAACCCGACATTCGTTTACCCGACAAAGGTAGAGTGCTAATTGGACCGCGATCTGATTCATGGATCACGTGGAATCATGGATCCGTAGTCATTCCGAGAGTTCGCAGTTTTAGTAGATGGGACAGAAACGGGTAGCAAGTGACTGGGAGGTTTTGCGGTCGCCAGCACTGCGGTCAGGTGTGTGACCAGAATGCAACATAAGACGATGTTAAGTAGACTGCAGAAATGAGCACTTTCATGCTAACTGGATGTCTAAAAACAATACGTTGTTATGCCGATGAAAACAACGAGCAACTGCACAATCTTGCAAAAAGGTTATTGCAAGAAAGAGAGAGTAAAGATTCTGGCGCATACAAATTACGGTAGCAACCTTAGACGAGAGAAGGTAACTCACTTGAAACAGGGGATGAAAGTACAACTCTTCAGCAGTGGGACGAAAGCACGTCAGCGGTTGGATACATGCACTGATTACCTCACGTAAGGATGGATTGAGCACTTTCTCCATTATATCTGGACCTTGTCCAGACATGGTTTTCGCCGCCACCTGCAACACCGTCTCACATTCATCGTAAGGTGTCCGGTTAGTCATCACCTCCAGCATAAGCATCCCAAATGCATAGATATCCACTTTCTCGTCGTATTTTTCATCGAATATCTCAGGAGCCATGAAGCCCAATGTACCTGAAGAGTTGATAAGTAAAATGGGGAAAATGATGAATATATGCTACTTGAAAAAAACCTGCACATGCCCCCAAATTTGCGTCCGCTAATAAAAATATTCTGTGCTTATCCAAAGAATGTATCTCCATAAGCAAGTAATTCACCACGGTAAATCCAAAAACAACAATGCTGTGGCATGATTCGATGAGAAACGCGAAACAGTAACCGCCATAATAGGATGGCTGTATCTTAGTTAAACTAGAACACTAAAATGCGACTTTGTTGGTTGAATGAAATGCATTGAAGAGGCATGCGGATGAATGATTGCACTTTGAACGCTTTGCTCTCTAAGTGGACAAGCGTGATTTGCATCGCATGCTTTTTACGGGGCAAAGTGAGCCGACAAGAAAAATAACGATGATTGAATATTGGGGAAAAGGAACCCAATAACCAATTACCAGATTTTTCTTATTAATGGGCGGATTCAACCGTAGGCTGCAAATGATACAGTTATCGTAATCACTCATTTTCCAGCGAAAAGGGCTAGCAGAAGCAACTTGTTCAAACGACGGTTTTGACGAAAGGCTGACATCGTTTGGAAACAGAGAAAAAGGGAAGCGATTCACACCCAAGAACAATCTTGTTTCAGAAAATTGGCATTCGTCATTAGGCTGGAACAAATAGAAACTCAACGAACTCATGGGAACTTTCTGGGCAGGCTGTAGAATTTGAAAAACTACACTTCCGAAACTTAAAAAAAAGAAACTCCTTTGGAGTAGCAAGCTTGGATTAGCCCATTTGATTGTTCAGAGGCACCGGGCACTCTTGATGGTCTTGCTGGTTTCACTACTTGGGAGATAGTTAATTCCCCACAAGTTGAATGCATTTACATGCGAAATGTTTGTGATAACTGACAAAGAGCATTGGACAACTGTTCCATCCTGCTTGGGATTCACCAGCGGCGCGTAGTTTTTATGTCCCTGTCAGGACTCGAACCGCGAACATTTCGGTTCAAACCCTTACCCCTGAAATACACGGTCGACGGTGCTCACTTTGTGCGAATGGCTTAATTTTAGAGTAGCAATCTTGCATTAGTCAATTCCATTGTTCAGAGGCACCAGACACTTGGAAGAAACTTTGATTGAGGTATATACGGAATAGTTCATGACCTCATCATGAAACGAGACACGAGTTACTAAGGCCAACAAAGAACGAATTTCAAACTGCGCGAAGATTAAGTTTCATTCTAACTCGGTCTTGGTGTATATTAGAATTCCCAGGTTTACATACGTTTGTTTACTACAATACAACCGTGACACCTCTCACGTAACTATAAGGTCTTTCATAATAGGAAGCAGTAGTAAAAGATGCGCTGTTATTATTCACCCTGAACTAGAAAAGCATCTGAGAATAAACTGAGAGCTAGAATAACCTGGCGCTAAAACCACACACCCCATCAACCGAACAACACATGTAGAGACATGTCAGACAACAACTGTGCCGTCAAAATAACATCCCAACCAATCAGAGCATTGAAATTAAATCAGCAGTCAATCGAGTGAAAGTAGGGAAACGGCACAACTGAGTGAGAGTCCAAATCATGTGGCAAATTTGAATCGCTTGAAACAAACGATCCGATCATAGGTTATATCGGTAGAAAAGTATCCGTCATGAACTGAATTCGTGATGTGGTGCGAGAGTAGTGCAAAAAAACAACTACAATTGTTGTTCAAGATTTTTTGGAGCTTGTAGAATATAATCAGAAGGCAGAAAATGGTACAATTAATTATTTTCCACATTCAGTTAAGTTGTGCGTGTATATCAGGAAGCCCATTCAGTTCAGTTCTTACAACCTTTAACTATGCACTTTCGTGCGCCGGTTTTGGTCGGTCTTTTGGCCGCCCATTTGCATAATACAGCAGAAGGAAGACTGGAATGTCGAGAACAGAATCAGAGAGAAGATAGAGAATTCATATAGACTGCGGTTACAGTTGCCTATTCAATGCCAACATTTTGGAGACCACTTGGTGCGTTCTCCAGTATTTCGTCTACGACAAAATTGAACAGGACACTCTTGATGAACAGCACTCCCGGTTTCGAACGCTTGGTTTAGCCCACCGTAGATCTTTACGCTACCACCGACCGCATACATACATACTTCCGCGGGATTCATTTGCGAAGCAGCGACCCAATAAGAGCTTCACGGTCATCTGAATCGAAGGATCCCTTTAGGCCAAGGAACGTTGCGATTGTTGACCGACGTGACGCAAAGTGAAGATATGGTCGATGCAACCGCGATCTGGTCGGAATCCCGCTTTCTGTTCGCGGATATTCCTCTCCCGTCAGGTGGCGGAATAGCACAGAAGTTACGACTTTTGTGATGGTCGGAACTAAAGTAATCCCGCGGTGGATTGCGCAGTCATTGCGCGACTCATTTTTGAAGATTGAAACGATCAACAATTTACCCCAGGATAAAGGAGTATGGTCCTCCAACCGGATTCTGCGAAGTCAGCTAGTAATCGAGTCGATGAGACAGTCACCACCCAGCTTGAAAAGAATGAGAAGCCCATAGGGTCCCGTTGCCTTACTTTTCCTTAACGATCGAATACAGCTTTATTTTCTAATTCTGTTGGAGGCTCACATGTTACTCCGCAGAGTTTCCGCTGCGATTACAGGGAGAATTGCATTAACACCAGGACTATTAAACTGTCCACTAAAATACTCTGCTCAGCGATAAAGTCATGCTTCTTCATTGTGGATACTCTGTCCACCTTTATCGCAAATGGTCTCACTAACCGGTATGTGACGACCTCCGGTGCCGCGTATCAGGTGAAACAGTCTTTCTCTATTCCCTGATACAGAAACAATAATAACATGGACGAAGTGATAAACCAAGAGCAGCACTTAACCATTCCTCCTGAATAAACTGAACAAGCGATAAACTTTCCACAGTCTACTCTTAAGGATGAACTGGTACTGGTGAAGATGTGGTCATGGGATCGTTCTGGAGAGTTTCAGTGGAACTAATCAACAGCAGAAATTTAGATATCGGATCAATAGCCCGAATCAAGTCTGGAACTATCCTGATTATCAAGCGCACGCTAACTGAATGACGTGTATGAAAAGGTGGAAAGTAATGTCGCGAGTAGCTTGAACCTAACATATTTATCTATGATCGTTAAAACAATGTATAGCTATTTTTTCATTGCCAAAAAAGCGATTACCGACTATGCGACGTTGTCTTCCAAAACAGGGATTGAATTTTTTTAACGCCGGAAAGTGGTCTTTATCCTACGATTATTCAGACGTTTATCGTTTACGATGTTTTGCAGAAGGCTGACTGGCATTATCGCTTAAAGTGAAACTGGAAGCTTTGTAGGATCCTCTGCAAGAGCAGAGCTGTATGCTACCGAGCGCGTCCCCAGGTCGCGGATAGGGGAACGGCCGCTAACTGGCGGTTAACTGTGAATAAGGTGGGTTTATTCTCACTGAATAAGCGGTCGCGGACGATCAGCGGCAGTGCTCGAGGATATGGCGGGNGGCCCGCCACTGAATACGGCCATTGCCCCTTGTCGAATTCCATCAACCCGACAGTCCTCCAGAGAAGACGAATGAACCAACCGACCGGTCACCGGCTTATCCGGAACAATACTGCTGTCTTGTAGCTCGCGCTTGGTTGCGTAAAGGCTAGAGTGCATCCTTGAACAAGGCCTAATCTGGACTGGGGGACCGCGTAGTAAAACAGCCCATAATGCAAACAATGAACTTCAACCTAATCAATAACTCGCTCTTTCGGTTCATGCGCATGGAACAACGCTTTACACCGTGCACATCTTCGTTTTTTCCAGCGTTTCCTCCACCTCACATGAACGCTCCTCAAGCATTAGTATTATTATCAAGATCTCCAGACAATCGTACTACCAGTTGTGCCTCCGATGGAAATTCCGTCCCTTTTTTCTCGCGTCCTGCCTCGAATAGCGTCCAAGTCTCACCGAATCTTCCTCCACCAGTTGGAGCCCTTCTTCGCCCTTGATGCCCGTTCAAACTAGCCACATTTAACGTGCGTACCTTGATGTGTATAGGACAACAGGCGTGTTTAGCTCGTACCCTTGAGACCCTAACCATCGATGTGTGTTGTATCCAAGAGACTCGCATTCAAGGCTCCAGCTCCACCATCCGATTGACGTCCCCGTCAAACCCATCCGCGAAGTTTCACCTGCGTCTTTCTGGGGACCCTGAGGCTGCGGCTTCTGGTCTTCTTAGTGTTGGCGGGGCCCTCAGTGAGACAGCTGAAACCGCGCTCCTGAATTGGATCCCAGTCGACAGTTGGTTATGCGCAGTGAGACCTAGAACGCAGATAGACCACATCGTTATAGCTACAAATGACGGGGTTGCATTCAAGACTACCGATCGTACTGGAGCACTACTCTCGAATCCGATCGCGCGTTAGTTTGCACCAAGCTGTCCATGTGCTTCGGTGGGCGTCCTAAAGGTACGACAGTGGCGGTTAGACTGCGATAAGTTGTCTCAACCAGCATGCTTAGTCGTCTTTCAAAACGCGCTAGCTAAAAAGCTAGAACCAACCCCACCTGATAAAGTCAGTGAGCACTGGTCGTTTATCAAGAATGCTGTGCATTCTGCTGGCTTAGTTAGTTGTGGTCTGACACACCCTGGATTTCTGCTAAGTCTCTGTGCCTTCTTGACGCACGTCGGTCACTTCCGACCGGCAGCGAGCATAACGTAACAAGGCTTGTAATGAGACGTGAACTTAACGTAAGCCTACGCAGAGATCGCGAGATCTGGTGGCCTCAACGCGCATCAAGGATGGAACGTGCTGCTACCATGGGAAATCCCCGTAAGCTGTTCCATCTCATCCGGGTCACCGGTAGAAAAGTCTTGGGTGTGAGCGAAACAATCTGCGAAGCTGAAGGTTCGCCCATTCACAATCAACAGCGACGTCTTGCACGCTGGGCGGAGCACTTCAAAGCACAATTTAGCTGGCCACCCGCGCCAGCTTCT